TTTTATTTATTATTTTCTTTTCTTTTATTTATTTATCTTTTAATACCACAGAGGTCAGAAGAGGGCTTCAGAGTACCCTGTAAGTGGTAGTGACTTGTTTAATTAAAGTTTTTTTTTTTCCCAGAATTTTGAAATGCTGACTTAAGGAGACTCAGAGAGATGATAAAGAGTCAACTCACCCCTGGTTTTCTAGTACCCATAGCAACCCAGGCTTCTTTTTTTCTAACAATAATCCTCCCACAAGACTGTAAGATACAGAGAGGCACAGTGGTTCATTCTTGTACTAATCCCCAATGCGTAACTATTTCTTAGTTCAGTCTGAGATACTCAACAAACTTTTCTGGACTCAGCCCATGATACTTTGAAGGGCTCTCAACTACTGCAGCTGTTGCTGGTGGACTTGCTTGCTTGTTCCTGTACATTTGCAAGCCTGATATAGCAAATTCTTTACATTCAGACTGCAGTCCCACCCACCACTGATAAACCCTGGCAATAAAATTAACCCAGAGCCTTAGGTTCTCTTTGGTATGAAAGTAACTTTCTTTGTTTCCCTCTGCAAAATGATAAAAGAGAATGCAGGGGAAAGCTCCATTTCCCCTAGAGTAGTCATCTGAGTAAGAGCATTGGAAATCATTGAGAGTACCTGAGTCCTTGCGTGGTTCTTCCTTCCCTTGGGGCCTGACTCCATCTTCATGTGCTTTGTTTGTCCTGACCCATATGAAGACTATTTCCTTCATTGTGTGGGTGGGGAACCTGCTTCTTTCTTGAGTTGGGCTCATCTTCCACTGTTCATCTGTAAGCATTACAATCCCTTCCTCTAAACTGTTCTGCCCCTTCTCTTTCTTTCTCGTATTGGACCAGGCCAGTACAATTATTGTCTGCGAAGGTATCCTTCACAGGTGTGTTTTTAGACTCATGCATGCTTTTATTTCTATTCATGTTTCTACCAAAACATAATGTAAATGTTCCAGAGAACTCCAACCATATATAAGCACATGTGTATATCCTCAAATAATGCCCTTACAGAAAATTTTTGTCTGTAGGCACACCTTTCCTGGATAGCCCTTCCAAGTTTTTAGCAGGAGTTTCATGGAGATTCTGAACCTTGTGTTATACCAGTGCCCAGAATCCTTTCTTGTTGCTTTTTTTTTTTTGGTCTTTTTGAGACAGGGTCTCCCTGTAGCCCCAGCTGTCCTGGAACTCACTATGTAGACCAGGCTGGCCTTGAACTCAGAGATCCGCCTACCTCTGCCTCCAGAGTGCCAGGATTAAAGGCGTGCGCCACCACGCCCGCCCAGCTTCTTGTTGCTGTTTTAAGTTCCAGGGTGCTACTCCCATTCTCTCTTCCTCCTGTGAGCCTAGAGTTGCCTTGAAGCCAAAGCCTTGACCATTTTAAATAGCATCAACCTTTATCACCTCCTTTGCTGTCTGCAAAGGTATAAATGTAGATTTTAAGGCCACTTGCTTTCTGTGTGCAGTTCTTATCCCTTGCACTGATTATCCCACAGGAAGAGTGATGGATACCACCTACAAAGCAGTGGGCCTTCAGGTTCCACAGATGAAACCATGGAAGTCTATTTGGGGTGTGTTATCTCAAACTGTGCTTTTCATGTATAATCAGTGTAGATGCGCATAGAAGACATTGGTACCTTCTTTACCTCTTTTGTGTTCAGCTGAGTTTTCACAGACATCTCTTTTTGATAATTTATTTTGAAAATATTTTATGATTTTTATTTTATGTCTATGAATGTACTGCCTGTATGTAACTGCACCCATGTTGTACAGTGCCCACAGAGGTCAGAAGAGGGTGTCAGATTCTCCTGGAACCAGAGTTACGGACAGTTGTTCACTGCTATGTGGGTCCTGGGAACTGAACCCAGGTTCTCTGCAAGAGCAGCCAGTGGTCTTAACTGCTGAGCCATCTCGCCAGCCTCTTTTATATGCCTGTTTTTTATTGTTGTTGCTACAGTTTTTAGTGGAATAATTTATGGAGAAAATATGACCTTTGTAAATTTAATTTTTTCTCACCATCTTTTTTTTACCTTTTTAAAAAAATATTATATTTATTTAGTTATTTATTTTTATTTTTTTGGTGTTTTTGAGACAGGGTCTCCCTGTAGCCCCAGCTGTCCTGGAACTCACTATGTAGACCAGGCTGGCCTTGAACTCACAGAGATCCACCTGCCTCTGCCTCCTGAGTGCTGGGATTAAAGGCATGCGCCACCATACCCGACTTATTTATTTTTTTTTTAGAAGTAGCGTTTCATTACAGCTTTAACATACTTGCTAACAGTTTCCAGAGCAAAGATACATCTCTTTCAAAAGTGGCTAAAATTTTTAGGTTTTCTCACCATCTTTAAGAGACTTGTTGGCTTATCTATTCCTGTAAAATACATTAATATGCAACATCCATTGCAGTAGTCGATCCTGTAGGTTTCATACTTGGTTGTTCCTTCAATTCTTATCTGTTAATCTTATGAACTTTGGGAAACAGGTGGTTCATAACAGCTTTATCGAGCTGGTTTATGTTATTCATACACCTGTAATTCCCCTATTTAAACAGTACAATTCAATGTTTAGTATATTTATACAGTTGTGCAGCTGTCACCATAATAAATCTGTAGATCATAAGAGTATTTTCACACAGCCTTCAAGTGTGCAGTAAGAGGACCAGTTGCATAGTAGTGACACTGGGTATGGAGCACACACTGCCTTTATCCTCTGTACTCACTTAGTCCCTAGGGAGAGGATCCTACTTACTTAACCGGTGCTCTTCAGAGTCAGAGGAACAAAGTAGCCCAGGTTGTTGAGGAAAACTTATGAGTCCTGCTATGGCTGTATTTGGGGCTTTCCTTGTTGAAGGAGGGTAAATCCACACAACAATGACTTACTGCTGTGGCTTGTCTAACTACAGGAGGACTAGCAAATGGAATGGGGTAACTGATAGTCCTTACAGATCTATGTCCCAATCTTGATTCTGCTACTTTTGTGTGTATGTGTGGTGCTGAGACTTGAACCCAGGGCTTTGTGCATACTATGCCAGCACTTTACCACTGAGCTACATCCTGGGCCTGACTCTGCCACTTGTGCATAGGGAGAGTCTGGCACATGACAAGCACTCAATTATGTGTAAAATTAGGGTAGCTAGGCTTTCTCATTTGGACATCCAGAGTTGCTTCCCCATATTTCATCTGTAATTCATTCTTCTGTTTTTGTTTTTTATTTTGTTTTGAGATAGGGCTTCTCTTAGGCCAAGTAAGTTTCCTGCCTCAGCCTCTTTTAAGTGTTGGGATTACAGTCCTGGGCCACCACTCCTGGCTCAATTCATTCTTTCCAAAGCAATTAGAATAATCTCTTAAACTCTTAAACTTAAAATAAATTACTTTGCCAGATGTGGTGGTGCACACCTTTAATCCCAGAGGCAGGCAGATCTCTGTGAGTTCCA